CCCCTAGTCCCCCTACCCAGTGTTATACCCCCTAGTCCCCCTACCAAGTGTTAAACCCCTAGTCCCTACCAAGTGTTATACCCCCTAGTCCCCTACCAAGTGTTATACCCCTACTCCCCCTACCAAGTGTTATACCCCCTAGTCCCCCTACCAAGTGTTATACCCCCTAGCCCCCCTACCTAGTGTTATACCCCCTAGTCCCCTACCAAGTGCTATACCCCCTAGTCCCCCTACCAAGTGTTATACCCTCTAGTCCCACTACCAAGTGTTATACCCCCTAGTCCCCCTACCAAGTGCTATACCCCCTAGTCCCCCTACCAAGTGTTATACCCGCTAGTCCCCCTACCTAGTGTTATACCCCCTAGTCCCCTACCAAGTGTTATACCCCCACTCCCCCCACCAAGTGTTATTCCCCCTAGTCCCCCTACCAAGTGTTATACCCCCTAGTCCCTCTGCCAAGTGTTATACCCCCTAGTCCCCCTACCAAGCGTTATACCATTTAGTCCCACTACCAAGTGTTATACCCCTAGTCCCCCTACCTAGTGTTATACCCCCTAGTCCCCCTCCCAAGTGTTATACCCCCTCGTCCCCCTACCAAGTGTTATACCCCCTAGTCCCTCTGCCAAGTGTTATACCCCCTAGTCCCCCTACCAAGCGTTATACCATTTAGTCCCACTACCAAGTGTTATACCCCTAGTCCCCCTACCTAGTGTTATACCCCCTAGTCCCCCTCCCAAGTGTTATACCCCCTCGTCCCCCTACCAAGTGTTATACCCCCTAGTCCCCTACCAAGTGTTATACCCCTACTCCCCCTACCAAGTGTTATACCCCCTAGTCCCCCTCCCAAGTGTTATACCCCCTCGTCCCCCTACCAAGTGTTATACCCCCTAGTCCCTCTGCCAAGTGTTATACCCCCTAGTCCCCCTACCAAGTGCTATACCCCCTAGTCCCCCTACCAAGTGTTATACCCTCTTAAACCCCTAGTCCCTACCAAGTGTTATACCCCCTAGTCCCCTACCAAGTGTTACCCTACCAAGTGTTAAACCCCTAGTCCCTACCAAGTGTTATACCCCCTAGTCCCCTACCAAGTGCTATACCCCCTAGTCCCCCTACCAAGTGTTATACCCTCTAGTCCCACTACCAAGTGTTATACCCCTAGTCCCCCTACCTAGTGTTATACCCCCTAGTCCCCCTACCAAGTGTTATACCCGCTAGTCCCCCTACCTAGTGTTATACCCCCTAGTCCCCTACCAAGTGCTATACCCCCTAGTCCCCCTACCAAGTGTTATACCCTCTAGTCCCACTACCAAGTGTTATACCCCCTAGTCCCCCTACCAAGTGCTATACCCACTAGTCCCCCTACCAAGTGTTATACCCCCTAGTCCCTCTGCCAAGTGTTATACCCCCTAGTCCCCCTACCAAGTGTTATACCCGCTAGTCCCCCTACCTAGTGTTATACCCCCTAGTCCCCTACCAAGTGTTACCCTACCAAGTGTTAAACCCCTAGTCCCTACCAAGTGTTATACCCCCTAGTCCCCTACCAAGTGTTATACCCCTACTCCCCCTACCAAGTGTTATACCCCCTCGTCCCCCTACCAAGTTTGATACCCCCTAGTTCCCCTACCAAGTGTTATACCCTCTAGTCCCACTACCAAGTGTTATACCCCCTAGTCCCCCTACCCAGTGTTATACCCCCTAGTCCCCCTACCCAGTGTTATACCCCCTAGTCCCCCTACCCAGTGTTATACCCCCTAGTCCCCCTACCAAGTGTTATACCCTCTAGTCCCACTACCAAATGTTATACCCCTAGTCCCACTACCTAGTGTTATACCCCCTAGTCCCCCTACCAAGTGTTATACCCCCTCGTCCCCCTACCAAGTGTTATACCCCCTAGTTCCCCTACCAAGTGTTATACCCTCTAGTCCCACTACCAAATGTTATACCCCTAGTCCCACTACCTAGTGTTATACCCCCTAGTCCCCCTACCAAGTGTTATACCCTCTAGTCCCCCTACCAAGTGTTATACCCCCTAGTCCCCCTACCAAGTGTTAAACCCCTAGTCCCCCTACCAAGTGTTATACCCCCTAGTCCCCATACCAAGTGTTATACCCCCTAGTCCACCTACCAAGTGTTATACCCCCTAGTCCCCCTACCAAGTGTTATACCCACTAGTCCCCCTACCAAGTGTTATACCCCCTAGTCCCCCTACCAAGTGAATCCACTCTGAACAAAGGATAGCAAGTCCCTGGTATGTATGATAGACAGAAGGTTACCTATGACACATAAAATTAAAAATGGATGGCATAGATACAGGATAGTGACCTAAAAAAACACTTGTTAACCTAGGCCTGTTCATTTTTTTGCAATCCAAACTGTTAAATCCGTTGGATCAGAGTTGTTTGTTTATGAAATAAGGTCAGACCCTGTGATCTGATGCTGATTCTTTCAGGCAAGCCTTGACAAAGCTTTGCAAGACCTGCATGAATATTTGAAGGTCAGCCAGGATTTATACCCAAAAATTTTACATTTAAAAACAGTCAAACCAGTTGAACTGTATACGCGAATGGGGCCCTAGATATATGATGGTGACCTAGATACAGGTGGGTGGTCTGGATAAGAAGGTTTGCTTAGAGGGAGAAAGATGGCCTATATACAGACGGGTGACTTTAATCCTGTTTATGTGGAACAACCGTTTGTCTAACAGATATCCAAATGTTAATGCAGGCCTAGAAAGTCTTTGCCAAGGCTCACAAGACAAATAATTTCAAATCACAAGGTCTGCTCCTATTTCGTAAACGTACAACTCGGGTCCAGCTGGTCCAACCATTGGGAATGCAATAAACGAAAATGGCCCTAGATGCAAATGGGTTGCCCAGGGTCTGATATAAGTAGGCTAGATAAATGTTCCTGTGCTAGATAGATACAAGATGGTGACTTAGATACAGGAGTGAGACCGAGATCTTCATTCTGCTGTTTGACCATTTGGTAGCCTCACTTAAACCAAGTGTATTGGGAACATAACTCCAATCAAACATAGTTTTGATGAACTTGGAGGATAGTTTGAATACAAGTTTTCTGTTAAGTTTTTGTCCCATATCACTTTTTATCCTGTACACTGAATTTTATCTTAGATATGTTGAATACATGAACCTTATAAACCCTTTCACCCCTATGTAAATTTATTAAACTCTACCATGTATTGGATCTGGATGAGTCCATTATTGTCTACAGTGGTGAAAGTGTTAAGGTCAGGATATGTGAGAGATACAGATTTAATGTGACGATCATTATCAACAGGCCATGAAGGAATCCATGGACAAGAGCCCGTACCTGTGCCTCTCTGACTTCGTGGCTTCGAAGGAATCAGGTGTGACAGACTACATCGGGTTGTTTGCTACGACAGCTGGCAGTGGGGTGGACAAAATGTGCAAGGAGTAAGTCATCAGAGAAAAGTCTTCTGCTAAATGCATCTGTAATTTCTTGGATTTGAAATACATTAGGTTGTTTGTTGCAACAGCTGACATAGTGGTCCGCAAAACCTGCAAGGAGAAGGTCACTGGTATAAATACATGTCTAATGTATGTACTGCAATTACATTTGTTGTCTTGGAAAGGTTTAGGGATGTGATTTTGTTGATATTTTGCAAAATACTGTAAATCACACGTTTTTTGTGAGGGATTAATTTTCTGACTTATTTGCAATTGAAATCTCCCATGGATATTTATTTCATAAATAATAACTATACATATTTGAAAAAAACCCACTATCAATTGCAGATTTAACTCATTCACCCTCGAAATTTCATAATCAGCTACTCCAACATTTGAATTGAAAGAGTTCAAATGTGTCTTCAAGGGTGAATGAGTCAAGTATTTTTTAATAAAAACTACAGACATAATTACTAAAATAAAGACAATTAAGCTAACATAAAGTGATATATTATGTGGTTGTGTGCTTACCGTACCACCTATACACAGTTGACAGAATTTGTTTGCTTACATATACTGTATCCTTCTCTCGACAGATTTGAAGAGAAGTTTGATGACTACAGTATTATCATGGTGAAGTCTATAGCTGACAGATTAGCAGAGGTAAGACAAAATGTGTCTGTGCTCCTTAGAACCTTAAGTAATCTGGATACCTGAGTAAACCAGATTTTAATAAAAAAAAAAATCAATTTCTCCATTGGATATATAAATGTGAAGGCAAAATCAAGCATCAATTCATTTCCTGGTCAAGAACAAGAATTCTAGTAAATCAATCATATTAAACAATACAGTGAAACCAGTGAAGTCTGATACCCTGTGCTATTTAACACATATTGTTCAGATTAGACAGGGTGTCAGCACTCACAGGTTTTAATTGGCATTATTTATAATGTGATTTATATTTATAAATGTGATTACAGATGTATTACAATTATGACAGGATTTTGGAATATCCAGAGGTCGGATAAGACAGGTTGAAGTAAATATAGTTTTATATTAATTTGTCAGGAAACATTTTACTGTAACAGAGATTATTTTGACAACCCATCCTTTAGGAGTTGAGACCTCTGGTTTACTGGTCTGACACTCTTCTGAATGAGCTTTAGAGAAATTCTACTTAATCAAGTTTATAGAAATCGGATCTATTTAGTCAAGTAACATTTAGAAAAGTGATATATTTCTTTCCTGAACTAAAATCCTTGTGAATAAGGCGTTTTAATCTCATTTAAAAAAATCAAGTGATTGATGTTTCATCGAGGAAACTTGATGTTGCTTTGAGTCAGATTATAAAGATACTAATGTAATAGGAAAGAGAATAGCGTGCTTCCGCCGGGGATCGAACCCTCGATCTCCTGGTTCCTAGTCGGATGCTCTACCACTGAGCTAAAGGGAAATCCCCTTTAGCTTGAAGCTAGAAGGCGACCTTAATCCTATGTACAATTAACATCTTCCACACTAAGATAAGAAATTCTCCTATTTATATTATTGCAGGCCTTTGCCGAGGAGCTTCACGAGAGAACGAGGAAGGAGTTCTGGGCTTACTGTCCCGAAGAGGAGCTTGATGCTCAGGGTCTTCACAAAATCAAATACCAGGCAAGATTTCTATATACGGATGATTGGCTGAAACTATTTATGAGCAATCAGAAAAAAGATGTCATATTGCATTATATGTTGTTTCTTTTTTGCTAAATATAATAGCCAAAAAAAACAAATATAGAGAACCAGATCTTATCAGAAATGTTGAACTTATTTTAAATAAATTTTACAGCTTTTTTAGGAAAAATATGACAAGAATGAAAAACATACTCTTGGTTGACAAAATCTTCTTGAGGTATGTGTCAGGAATGTGGATTATCTAAAAAAAACAACAACAGGGATTCCCGTAAAAATACATTGACATATTCACAGTAAAGACAATGATAGTATGTTCCCTTTTTTTTTAACTGTCTTTCTTTTAAGTATGGTGTCCAGTGATGTATATACAAAATGTAGTTAAAGAGAATCTCAAACATCTTCACATTTTAATTTTGCTGATTCAAATTGAAACTGTGCCATTTCATTAAAAAACACAAACAGTATTAAGAAATATTTACAATAATATCTTCCAATAAATTGGTAGCAGAGCATCTAAATTCACCTTGTAATTTTGAATTTCTTGCAGGGAATCCGTCCTGCTCCAGGCTATCCCAGCCAACCAGATCACACAGAGAAAAATGTTATGTGGCAACTCCTTCCCGCAGACAAAGTGGGGATAACTCTGACAGAGTCTTTAGCCATGGACCCTGCAGCTTCTGTATCTGGACTTTATTTTGGAAACCGGAAGGCTTCCTATTTTGCCACTGGAAAACTTCAAAAAGACCAGGTAGGAAGAAGATCAAAAGATTTTTTTTCTTTTTTTATCTGGTTGTTGTTTTGTGTATGTTTTGTTTTTATTGCCCATCATCAATTGAGGTCATTTTGCCATTGACATAAAAATGGAGAAGACAGGAAAACCAGGTCGTTCAAACTTCTGAGATTCTTTTTTTGAAATATACAAAAGTCAGGACTGGTAGATTATTTCTTTTGATCATTAATGACATTTTGATACAATTATCGTTTTGTTTTTCAAACTACAATTATATATCTCCCATACCAATTTGTTTTCTTCAGATCATGGACTATTCCCAAAGGAAGCAAATGCCAGTGTCTGAGGTTGAGAAGTGGCTTGGATCTGCTCTGGCCTACGACCCAGAGTAAAGTCGTCTCCATATCTCCGGGCAGTGTTATAACTACCAACATCATTGTCACTTGTTTGGAATTAAATGCACTACGGATGTTGAAAGCTTCATGATGTGAACATACCTTATTTTGTAATGATCTCATTGCTGCCAAACTATCCTGATATGAATACTGCATATTAAAATATGTTCATGATAACATCAATGATGTCATTTCTTGTTAAAGTGTAATTATACATTAAACCCAGCAGTCAAATATCAATATAAACAACTAAAAGTTCTAGTATGCTATGATTGATTTATATTTTCTCACATTAAGGTTAGGGTACCAACAGGTTAAAATATATGACTTGTATTACTATTGTCACTTTTGTGGAATAAATCTGCTCAGATCCTTTTCAAAAAAATATTCCTTATTAGCCATGTATTTTACAAATGCAATAGTTCGAATTTTGAATTTTGAAAATAGAAATAAAGAAAGAAAACAAGAAATCCCCAAGAGTCTATTAAACTGAAGACCTTACAATGCAAAACCTACACTTCACCAATGTTGTCATGCATGAGTTATGAAAGCTCAGCACCAAAATCAGCATCAAAATCAGCATCCAATTAAAGAGCTGCAAAGCCTGTTAAGGGAGAATACTCCAAGTCAAAAATACTCTCGAGTTGAACTTTTGTTTCCAAGCAGTTGATAATATTTAAACCCCGCAGCGCTGGGAGGGATTGGCTTGACTACAAGTGAACAGCTTGTGTTGAACCTCTTAACTGGGTAACTGGGTCATGAAATATATTTATAGAATTTGTTTATCTCTCAGCAGCCCTTGGTGCAAGCATCAGTTGTCTGTGTCAAATTTAGTGTTATTAAAATGTTTATATGTGAAATAAAATAAATAGAACAATTGGTGAGATACTTAAGGGATGCCTCCATTATGATTTTGAAATATAATGATACTAACAATTTATGGAAAATGACATTCTGAAAAATTGGGCTTCATAAATCAAAGCTGTATGCTGTATCAAATTTTACAAAATATCTCCGTTGACTGATGAGTTAAGCATATGATCTTGAAAATTGTAACTAAACAAAATAAAAAAAATTGGGCTTTTCCAGAATCTATATAAGGGGAAAAGCACGACGGCACTTTCTTACACCCTCTTCACTCAGATATATTTCTAGGACCCAATATATCATGTTAGACCCAACAGGAAATATAAGTAAGTGCCTCCCTAATATATTGAAATAGCCCTTGGGTAGCAGTGTTCAGTAGCGTACGGTGGCCATGGGTGATATTTTTGTACAATGAATAATCCTTGTAATATTACATGTATCAAAACTTAAAAACAAAATCAGCACTAAAATTGGCATATACATGATTAAGTAGACTATGTAGGCTTCACATTTAAAAAAAACAACGAATTTGATTCATTTTTGGCCATTTACAAATCTGTGTCTACACAACAAAAGCTAGCTTTTCATGTAGTCTATTTTTGTACTCGGTACATGTGTAAATATAGGTTTTAAGAAAAAAAATACTGCTTGCGTGGGTCAAATTTTGGGTTAAAAATCACGTTTTTTTTTGCATTTTTTGGCCTGTTTTGATGTGCAAACCATGGTTTTCACAAGTCTCAAATCTGGGGAAATCACTTTTAAAAAAACCCACATTCTTCTAAAAAAAATGTATTCAAAATGTAGTTTATAAATATACATATATATGTAGGTGTGTTGTGCAGGATAAATCCGCTATCTATGTTTATCTGAGACATGCCCTTTATTTTTAGGATCAAGCCATTCCTACTGTACTCTGCTACCTTGTCTGACAATGTTAATAAAAATGTATTTGCTAATGAGATACTAGTCATATACATTTTTTTTATGTTATTTATGTTCATTTGTTTGCATTTGCTTGTGGCCAACTTTGGACCTTTTAGGGACCAAGGCACTAACTCATGTCTAACATTCTGTCCATACTGTTTTAATCGGAAAACTGCTAATCACTAAACATTGTAGTCTGAATGAAATACTAATATAAATGCAACCTCAGCGCTGGGGCATTCAAAGTCTTGAGACAGATTATTGAGAATTGAGATTAAATTTGAAATTGATAAAATTACACAAATCACAAATGTATGTACATGTACTTGTATATATTATGTAGTAGTATAGTGTCACTTTGCTTGGAGATGTAGTGATGCAATTAAAATATGAAGAAATAAGTTTACCTCTCGCATAATACATATGGTGGATAGAACTGTAAACTTTACAGCTACCTGTACTTGATCTTGTACTTTTATGTTTCATTCAATCATGAAGAACAATTAATACTTTTTTATGCAATATACCTTTTACTTCATTGTAACAGAACAGTCGTGTACCTGATTTTGCTTTTAATATTTAATGTGCTTTGTGATACTTTTTTAATATTTAAATAATCAAATTTTCTGCCAGTGAATGAATGTTTATAAGAGATATAAGCATGTATGTTTCATACATAGTGCTAAACAGGAACATTTTCTCAGGTTGTATCTTTTATTTTAAAAAAAAATGTGTACTGACAGTTTTTGTCAATGATAAACATGCAGTCATACCTGTATTAGAGATCACCCTTGTGAAGTCCAAAATGTGATTTACACATTCCTATAGTATAGGCACTGATATCTGGTGATTTGATGTTGCCGTATTATATGCAGGAGAACATTTCCAGGAATATTCTAGCAGGATATTGTCCCATACATGTCAGTTTTGAAGTTTACATTTGATATTTTTAAGCCATTTTGGGAAAAAATGAAATTGTAAAATTGAACTGGGGATTATAAAACCTTGATGTGTTCTGACTGTTGAAGAGTCCAAGTGGCAATGATTTTTGACTTTTAATGATATAAATGTGAGAGAAATGATACATTATGTATATATTGGCTTACATAATAAAGTCCTTGTGAAGTTGTAAAGATAAATATCATTTTTGAGATAATAGAGAATAAACAAAATCGAAAAGTATTAAAAACCATCTTTATACATGTATTTTTGATGGACAGGCAAGCATTTACGATTAACTTCTCATATTTATTAGTTCATAATGTGGAAAGGGGAAATAATTTATAATACAGAATATTTAAATATATTTTCAAGGTTTTCAAAACTGTATGTTATCTGCTGTTGTGTATGTGTTATGTTTGATATATCTTTCAATCTAAAAAGAATTAATATATATTATGTCTGTATTTTAAAGGACTTTCTAAATAATTTTTTGGATCACCATAGCCACATAATAGGATATGTGGGTAAGTGTAGTTCGGTGCGCTGCTTAAAGAGAAAAGAGAAATTTGAAAAAGAAGGTTGTGTGTGTTTAAGTACCTTTGATGTTAATGTTTACAGTGCAAAATGATCTTAATTTTGCTTACATACATGTCATGTTAATGATTGTTCCTGGAGGTCCTGACTCAACTTTTGTGGACCTGGGTTCGACTCCAGCTGACCTGTTGAATCTCAGAGAATAGACATTGTTTACTGTTGTTCATTTCAAGGCAGCACTAACATGTATTAGAAAACAGCCTGTGCCTTTATTAGATTGATAGACCCAGTACTATGAAACTTTGCTTTAAATACAGATCCAATATCATAAAACTTTGTCAGACTAGATACTCTCATACAATCTTGCAGATATTAATCTTTTCGTGTGAAAGATTGACATTATGTGACAATAGTTCTTGTTTAAATGAAATTTTTTAAAAATCATGAAGGTTCACATGAAAATTTTGAGATAGATTTATGTCTAAACCTTTTATATGATAATCCAGTTTTTTGGTGTTTTTTTTTTATATATATATATTTTTTTTTTATAAAGTGGTCTGGCAATTATACATATATTTAGAGAGAGTTACAAAAGAATTGTTAAGAAGAAAGAAAAATGAAAAATTCAAACCTTTAAAAATATATTGGCTGTGAGTTGTCATATAGAAGGTTTAATGATTATATATCAGGTTGGTTTAATGATTATATTTCAAGGTTTTACTGTAAAGATTTTTTTTCGGGACATTTTTTTTATATTTTTTTGTTATAAGAATGTGTTTGGAGTTCTGACATTAAATGAAATCACAAAAAATGAATAGAAAAGGGTATTATGTTGACTTTTTCTCCACATTAGATGTTTATTGTGTCACTTTTGGAATATATGATTATAAATATAAGTTATGTGTTTGTGCCATTACATTTTAGAGTAGGTCAAAATTGTCGCTATAAAATATCGATAAACCGAATTTTTTGTCCCTAAATCTGAAAAGTGTTGTCATTTGGCAACTTGGCGATCGTTAATGCGAGCCCTGGAATGTCGCTAAATTGGAAGGAATTTTAGTCTTGGGAGTGAAAATTAACGGTCACATAAGACAGGTGGTCGCTTAATGCATAGTGTTTATATAGTGAATTTCATTGGGAGGACATTTTGGTCGCATATGACAGAAAGTCGCTGAATTCGTTAAGGCAGGTTTGACTGTAGATCATGAACATTTTCACAATGATTATGTTACGTTTGGTAGTAGTTCATAAAGAAATCAAATATTTAGATATTTTTTGTCTACTTGAATGTTTTATGGTGAAATAAAAAAATTGGAATCACTCTGTTAGGTAAAGAAAAAACATCTGTTTCATTACTTGTTATGGTAAATGATTTGACAAACTGATGAATCTCCCATTTACATTTTTGTGCAGTGACTGTGTCTTGCACTGATATAAACTTGTTCATTTAATTTGTACATGTATTAAATTGTTCTCTTAATTCATAATTAATCAACGAACAAACAGAATAACACTGCTGGGACTTCACCGTCCTATGAAAGTATTGCTTGATAATTGATTCTCTGATTAGTTTGAAGGCTGTGTAAAGTGCCATTTAGGGTTAATGTGAATCCACTTTGTAAAATATATTTAATTAACTGGGAGGAAACCCCAGAGGACCTGAGGTCAATATTAGTTTTCCTAGGGTCAGGATTTGTAGTAGAGTTTAATTAAAATTCATGCAACAATCCTGTGTCTTGGGACATGAACATTGCTTTGTTATAAATATTTCACAATCAGTATGTTTGTATTAAACACACATGGTTTATTGTAAGTGGCCAGGTAAATGTATCGAGGAGTTTGTATCTGGCTCAGCAGTACTCATGTGAGTAACGTGATTGTACTGTCACAGAGTCTCATATAACACAGAAACATGAGAACGGTCTCTAAATGGTGAAGGCTTTAGCATTAGGTCATAGTGGCTGAATTAGGATACAAGGATATTGGTGTTTCATGTGTTGTGAACAGAATTTTTAAACTTTACATATGAGCCACATATGAAATCATGATTCTTTTAGGCATTGCTTAAAACTGACATAATTTTACATGTTCTATGTGTACTAAACAGTTTCATGTAAATTCACAATACAAGCAAATGATGGATATAAAACTATTGAGAAATATAAAAAAAATCTTGTTTATTTTTTCACTTACTAAGCTCAAAATATAGAGTCAAGTATGTACATGGCCGAGTTGATTTTGAGTAAATTTGGATGGAACGTTATTGGGCAAAAGAGACTCTATTTTGTATAAAGAAAGGGTGTATCCACCTGATGAAAATAGCTGAGGTCCCACCCTGCAACAACGTACAAAGGCACTAATGATACAAGGATTGGGCCTGGGGTTCATCCTTGCCCCTGGAGTCTTAGTCCCTGGATCATAACAGATTCCCAACCATAACAATATAAACAATTGCTGAGCATGAGGCGATGGACGTAATCATGTCACTAGTATATGTAAGCTCAAGAGTCTGCCATGCCCTGGAAAATTTGTCACTGGAATCATTGAAACAGGTGAAGTCCCCTCCCCATAATCATATGTACAAATCTAAACCATGAGGGGCTATTGGTCTCCTTGACCTGGGAATCGATCATTGTGTAAAGGAAGAAAGTGCATCCTTGAGACTAGGAAATCAAATGTATTAAGGAAGGGTATTGTCCCTTTCATGTTGAGAGACAAAGCCAAAATTGGGAAATATTTGCTTAAGTATCCAAGCGATCGATACAGGCCTTCTTGGTCCCTTGTTATAAGTCATAATACTTATCCATATTTTTTTGTTACGCTAAAAAGAGGTTGTTTTTGTCAATTTGAAAAGTAGCATAGCCATAGAAAGAATGACCAACCAGAAAGCTACAAAATTTGACCTTGACATTTGACCCAGTGACCTTGACCTCTGATCTCGACCTTTGATCTGTTGACTCCTTGTTTAATTCTGATCAACTTTGCTTCATGATGTCATAACAAAATGCTCATCAGTGAAAAGATGCAAAAATATACCTTGACCTT